TTAATTAAAGAAAGAAAAAGAGAGTCCATTTTGGGTCTCTACCTCTGGGTTTGATGGTTTTAGGAAATTGAATGATTGGGCTCCAAATAATATAGCAATAAGTGAGTTAGGAACATACAGAAAGTAGAAATCGTATACATTTTTGCAGATACCTAAATAATGTCTTTTTCATGATTGTAATTAAGAATAAGCATCAACAACAAGGGAGAACGAACAAAAACGCAGAAACCCACAAAGAAATTGAACGAAATGAAAATATTTACCCAGCAAGAGCACTCATTTTTCGTTCAAGATGGTCATCTTCTCTGGCATCCAGAGCTCTTTTGTTAGCTCGTCTCTGTATTTGCATGTCACAAAGGTAAAAACAAAAATCGAGTGTCAATGATGAAATCCAATGAAATCCTAAACCTTATCAAAGCTTCGAAATCAAACAAAAGATAGCATCAACAAACCTTAAACTAGAGCCAAAGCAATAGAAATCGAACAAAATATTTAAAAAAAAACCCAAACAGAATACAACACTCCTTGAAATCAAACGAAACAGCAGAAGACGAAAATATGGAAAACCCTCATATAATCAATAAGAGTAAGATTTTTACCATAATTTTAACCTTTAACCCAGTCGAATCTTTAATTTGAGGAAATCCTAGAAGAACAGGCACAGGAGGAACGTGAACAGAATGCAAAGGTAGCACAAGTTATTTTTTATTTATTTTTTTGCTGCAAACGGGCATAAACGGAATGGAAAAATAAACTTTTAATGGTCGTTTGGAAATGGTGGTTTTCCCTTTTGCAAACTACAGGAGCATATGCGATAAAAAAAATCACAGAAATATAGGTGATTTTTACATGGACATTTGTGAACTTTTCCCTTAAATAAATTATAATTCACTAGCTGAAATTGGATCAAACTTATGATAAAAAGCTGGAAGTAGAAGCTATAACCTCTTCTAGGAGTTTTTAAAAATAAACTCATTTTCTTGATTTTCTTGGTTAAAAAAAATAAATTAAGCCTGTCTTGAATGTAAATACACATTCAATCATTATGTACAGTACTGTATGAGTAATATTCCCCAATTGGTAAAATATAATTAAGTAATTCACGTACCTAATTCATGTAATTAATAGAGTAAATAACGTTTCCTAACCATTAAATGGGGATTAGCATCTTCCTCTAACAAATTAGATTATTTGAAGTTGCTGTCACGTATGCTTCAAAGTGATTAACTGCAAAAGAATATTCGTAATAAAAATGACGATTTCCCATGCCATTAAATCTCAAGGCATTTATATTTTACACACTATAAATTAAGTAAGTTATAAAGACTTTTAATTGGCATAAATGTTATAACATAAAATTAATAAGAATATTGTTTCATAAACAAAATCAACCCTAGGGTGCATTGCATATTATATTTTATGATGCCATCGGGCTATATCGTGTCTTTCAATTCAATTCATTTCATTTCATAACTCCCCCATCTTACTATGATCGGCTTACAACAATTAAATGGATGATGGGCCAGACATTTCCCATTGCCGATGGTTACAAGCTAAATATGGAATCAACTTCCACGGTGTTTTAATTAGGAAACTTCTTATGTCAAATTCTTTTTTTTTAAGCTATCTCTATAAATATTTAATAAGGCCAACATAGAAACTTGCATATAATCAACTATATATATGCTCACCAGCCTCACTGTTTAATTGGAAGGGAATAAATCTTAAATATCCGTAATACATTAAATTCTACTTTATCCAAGAGTTATTAGTCTAGTGGCGTTGTAGTTAAATCCTATAATTTTAACCAAAGGGTAATGAGTTTGATTCATCGAAGTCACAATTTCTATAACAGTAGAGAGACTCAAATCCGAAATGAGATTAATAAGACTCATTAGAGCTTTGAACATTGATAGATAATTATAAAAAATAAAAATAAAAATCCTACTCCCTATATTTGAGAAGAAAAAAATATAAGATATCCAAAGTTGCCTAACCATCACAGCAAAAGTTAAATAATAATTAATTAAAATAAATTCGGAATACAGCATGTACTTAAGTTGAAAGAAGTACATATTATCTTTAAGAAGAATAATCCGTTTACAAACTTTCATTTACAATTTTTTACAAATTACATTATGTACTTCCGAGAAGAACATAATGTAACATAGTATTCTCCCGAGAGAACATAGTGTAGTTTGTAAGCAAAAAATTTGTAAATATAACCCTCCCGTATCTTTAAATCTATTAATTAGTGTCTTGTCCACCGAGAGATTTTATTCTATTTTTATTTTATTTTGTTTTGTTATATCTTTATTAAGATAAATAAAAATGAATCGTTGTGTCTTTTCATAAATTATATAATACTATATTTAGCCATATCCACTGTAAAATTGTAGCTACTGTGGTTCTTCATGAATTATCGCTTAGTTTTTTTTTTGGATTTGAAAATACCTTCCTTCACTCAATTTCATAATATCAAATACCATTAATCATATCATTGAAAGTTTTATTATTATTTTTAAATGGAATAAAAATCCCCATGATAAGTGTCACAAGTAAAATTGGTAGATATTGACGTCATAGCTTAGTTACAATGAGTTTTTGTATAATTTTTTTATTACTGTGGATAGAGTTTAATTTATATTATTATTTAATCATGTACTAATATATTATTAAGAGACTTCGACTTTTTAGAATTATTTCCATCGTCAATTTTTTAAATGATATTGCAATATATAATCAAACAATAACATAATAAATAATTTAAAAAATTCTAAATTTAATATAAGTTAATGGTCTGCTTGTTTTAAATTGTTATTGACACAAGCACAAGAGGTGTTTTGAAAATTTGTGATAACATTAACAAGCTACACTAATTAGGAAAACAAGATGATACATCATCCATTTTGTTTCCATTTGATCCTCAAGGTTAAATGTTGTAGAAGGATTGAAACTCACATGTGTGAATTTGCATGTTTTTTCTTTCCTTTCCTTTTTGTTTTCCCTCTTATGTCCCACTCCCCTTCTTACAATGGAAATGGAAAAGTAAAAATAAAATAAAATGAGGCTAATCCAAGAATGGATAAAAAGTTGGATCTGTGTCACACACAAAATCCAATCGGTTAAATCACACAGTCACGCCGATTCATAATTTTCGGACACTCTCTGTCCCCTTCATCACCAGCCACGTTTCCCACTTTCAATCCAAACGCAACCTTAATTTTCCCAAAATGACCGTATAGTCCTCAACCATTTGACACTCTCATTGGCCGTTTTCATACAACCTCGTGTTGTTACCGTCGTATGGCACATACCTTATCACAGTCTTTTTTAAGATACAAAAGCGTGTTGTTGTAGTTGACAATAGGAATAACAGGGCCCCCGCGTGTACGACACGCGCACCATGTCGATTTAGGATTGGAGGCGGAAATCACGAACCCCTCGCTCGTAGCAGTGGATCCCACACTCTCTCTCTCTCTCTTGCTATATATTTCCTCACAATGAGAAAGATTAGAGAATGATGTGCATGAAGAAGAAGAAGCTGGCACTGGATTCGTAGCGAAAAGCGGAAAAGGATTTGTTTGTGTTAGAAAGAAAAAAAAAAAAAATATCAAGAGAGAAGAAAGTCATTGACTTTCTGATTACCTCAGTCTCAGAGTCTTAGTAAGTCAGCTCTAACATTTTTTATATTATTGTTATGGAATCAAGATATCATTTAATTTTAATTTTTTCATGATCTACTTTTGTTATATATAATATTTTATCTGTCCTTTTCTCATCAACTGATCAGAAAGAAAGGAGAGAAAGTGGGAGGAATCTGAAAAAAATAATATTAAAAGTTAATATAATGAACAGTTATAATTCTTGGGAATTAAAATGAGTTTTTTTTTTTTACCATCTTTTATATTTAATGTATCTGGTGTCTAATATATCAACCAACAGTTGGAGATTTACTTTTAATAAAGAAAAAAGTAAAAAGAAATCATAAGTTTCTTGGGTGTGGAACCCAGCAGTCCTATTTTGCTCACTGTCAAATTAAAAGGTATAGTTTTCTCCGTACCTTGGTTGGTTTGAATGCCATCTAACTTTTTCCATTTCTCTGTTTCTCACTTATATCTGTGTGGGGTGTGGAGAGAGAGAGAGAGAGAGAGAATGGCAGGGGGTGGTGTCAACCGGTTCCTTTTTGCTTAGATTTGGTACGATGCATTTGAAAAGTCAGTGTGGTGTGTGAATATGACTATGAGATACATGTGAGATAAGGTTTTGTTTTTGTTGCTTTCTTTCTTTTTATTATTTTTTATATCTTTAAGATTCTTAAGATTTGTTTTTTATTCATTTTTCCTCTTCAATGTTTTTGGAATAGACCTCTTTGGATTTTCTCCTTCCTTGGGTCTCTTTCAAAATTCTCAAAACTGACAAAAGAATCGGTCAAGTGTGAAATACAGAAAAACTCAACATTCTCCCTCTTATTTGTCACTGTTTTGTGATTTTTTTTCTGCTGCTGGGGTTCAGACATGAGAAACAGGTGTGAACCTTGGATCAAAAAGGAAGGGACTTTCTTGTCCTGTTTCTCTTTCCATATGTTTCTGGAATAGGTTTTTTTTGCTATAGAGAGAGGAAGAGGGTGTAGAGTCTTTGTGTGGGGGTGTTGACAAGGAAACAGCTTTTTGGTTATGTCTACTTTTTTTATAATAAAAAAATTAAATCTTGTCAGTTTTTAGTTCCATCTGGTTCAAAGGTCAAAAAGTTAAGAGCAAGGAATCAAAAACTCTAAAGTTCCTTGGCAAAAGTGATAGTGACGCAATTTCGGGGGAAAAAAAAAACCGAAGAATGTAAGAGTCAGAATGGAAGGAATAAAGAGTATTTGCTGCAGAAAAATTTCTGGGAGATAGGAGAGAAAGGGTCCACCCTTTTTTTCAAAACTTTTATGGGATTTTGAGGGTTTGATTAACAGCAACAGTGTGAACAGTAGTAGTGGGGGTATTACTCAACCCATTTCCAGTTCAATGCAAAGTTCATCTTCCTTTTCCTTCTCAACTGTATGTTCCATCTCCTCTTTGGTTTTTGGTCTCCATCTTTGAGCGTCTTATTTTATTGTTTGCTTCTGTATTGATATTGAATTTGATTTGTACATTTATTATTCATACTTGTCGTTGTTGTTGCTGATGAGACTATTCTACAGCAAAGAAAAATGGAGGGCCATAGTGAGATGGGTCTCATTGGGGAAAATCTCGATACTAGTTTGACGGGGAGGATGAGGGACGATGAGAATGAAAGCCGTTCTGGAAGTGACAACTTTGAAGGCTTATCTGGTGATGATCAGGATGCTGGTGATGATCAGCGGCAGAGGAAGAAAAGATACCATAGACACACTCCTTACCAAATTCAAGAGCTTGAATCGTATGGCTTTATGAAATTTTGCAACTTTTTTTTTTTTTTTTTGGCTAATTTGATTATCTGTGATTGAATGTTGTGGTGACGGTGGTTTTTCTCTTGCTTTTGCTTTTGCTCTTATTGGTTTTTAGTTTCTTTAAGGAGTGTCCTCATCCGGATGAGAAGCAAAGGTTAGATCTTAGCAACAAACTTGGCTTGGAGAATAAGCAAGTCAAGTTCTGGTTTCAGAATCGACGGACTCAAATGAAGGTGAATTTGAATGCAGTAGTATAATTGCACTTGTATGTAGTTTGTTGATGCAATTTAGATATTGTACTAATTGAATCGCTTTTCTTGAATCAGACCCAGCTGGAACGCCATGAGAATTTAATGCTTAGGCAGGAGAATGAGAAGCTCAGAGCTGAGAACACTTTGATGAAGGAAGCCATGTCAAATCCAATATGTAACAGCTGTGGCGGCCCGGCTATTCCTGGCCAAATTTCATTTGAGGAGCACCAGATTAGAATTGAAAATGCTCGACTAAAGGATGAATTGAACCGCATATGTTCCTTAACAAACAAGTTCCTTGGCAAGCCAATTTCATCATTGACCAGTCCCATGTCTCTCCCAACCTCAAATTCTGGTCTGGAACTTGGTATTGGAAGGAGTGGGGTTAGTGGTTCGAGCACTCTCGGCACTTCCTTGCCAATGGGACTTGATTTGGGAGATGGAGTCTTGGGAACCCAATCTGCAATGCCTGGGATTAGATCCCAAATGGGATTGATGGGAAGTGGAGTTCAGTTCGAGAGATCCATGCTTATAGATCTTGCATTGGCTGCTATGGAGGAACTAATAAAGAAGGCTCAGACAGATAGCCCTCTTTGGATTAAGAGTTTGGATGGCGAGAGGGAAATTATGAACCATGAGGAGTATGCAAGGTGTTTTTCTCCTTGTATTGGTCCAAAACCCACTGGTTATGTAACTGAAGCTACAAGAGAAACTGGGATAGTAATCATTAACAGTTTAGCCCTTGTGGAAACTTTGATGGATGCGGTATGATTATGATGCTCAACTTCTTTGGTTCAATGAAGTTTAACTGATTTTATTAGAAATTTTATACAGTCATTCACAACTGAAGAATCATTCTAGATACTTTTAACGTTAGATTTAGGTAGTTTAAATTGGCCAACATTTTGAGTGTTGAAACTACTAGCTTTAGTTTTTGAATTACCATTGATGTTGTTCTGGACTGCTTTCTATTCAATATTTATCATGTTGATTTTGATAGATTCTTAGATTTTGTTCTTTTGTTCCTGATGGACTGTGACAATCACTTAGTCTAGAATTCATGAGGTTTGTTTTAGTATCTTGTTTTAATTGATTATTTCTTTGAATAGAATCGATGGGCGGAGATGTTTCCATCTATGATTGCTAGAGCTATCAATCTTGATGTTATATCTAGTGGCATGGGCGGAACCAGAAATGGTGCTTTACAAGTGGTATGTTTCTTTGCTGCATGTTTGTTTCACTTTGCCTTAGTTGACTTCGAACTGATTTGGATAATGCTTTTCAGATGCATTCTGAGGTTCAATTGCTTTCACCACTGGTCCCTGTTCGTCAAGTGAGATTCCTCCGGTTTTGTAAGCAGCATGCAGAAGGCTTATGGGCTGTGGTTGATGTTTCTGTTGAGGTTGGTCATGATGCTGCTAATGCACAATCATTCATTAGCTGTAGGAGGCTTCCTTCTGGCTGTATTGTGCAGGATATGCCCAATGGTTACTCCAAGGTAAGTGCTGATCTAAGTTCTTTTAAGACTTCATTTGTTATTTTTTTATGTTATCGTTTCTTGCTTTCTTTAGAGTTCAAATGTTTTTTAAATAGTGAATCTTTTCTAGTTGAATTGTATTATAATATTCTAACTTCAAAGTGTGTGTTGCTTATTGTCTGTACTTAAATTGTCCGCTGCTACTCCTAGAGATTAGTGAATCAAGGCTTATATGGTATAGCGATAGTTTGAAACTTCATTTCTGTTTAGCATCTTTTAGTATTTAAAATTGCATAAATATTTTAAATCTTGGATTCCTCAATCTTTGTTGAATAAACAAGACAATCGGTGCTTCTATTCCTATCTCTTTTTTTATTAAATATACCATTTTTTATACAGTGTACGAGACCATAATGACCTGGATCCAGTCATCTGCTGCTATAATATAATGGAGACACGTGATGTGTTAATCCGTGCCCTTTAATATAATCAGGAAGTTTTTTTTATAAATTCTATAATCTGCTGCTAACTATTTTGAGATTCATCTCTATCATGTTGACATCTGCTTCAATTTTGACATTTCACGTAATCCTCTACAGACAGAATTCGTTGTTGGGTTATTAATTTATAATTAGCCTAGGGTTTTATGTCAACATTTTCTATGTCGTTAAGTGTGGGCTGTGTTACGTTATTCAATAACCACCCTTTCTAATTCTATCAATAGCCAACTCGAAGTTGGGTCAAGAGTTATGAAATTCCATGAGACACAGTTGTCTGGCAGGTGAGCCTGCACTGAGAAAACAGGTTATGATTATTCACTTGATTAAATGTGTCATGCCTTGTTATGTGTTTTATATTGTTAGAGAATAATATAAACCATTAAAAAGGCCTTCACCCAACACCTTAAGATTTTAGGTTGACTTGGTTCTTAAAATGGTATTAGCTTTAATTCTCACCGCCTCTCACTTTTTAGTGGAATTAAAAAAAAAAACCATTAAAAAAAGGATCCTCGCCTGTCCATGTTTCAAGCCCAAAGGACTCCTGAAAGAAGGGGTGTGTTAGAGAATAATATAAATCATTAAAAAGGCCTTCACTCAACACCAAAAAGATTTTGGATTGAATTGGTTCTTTACACATATTTCAAATAGTTAAATTCCTTTATTGACAGAGGGTAAGTTGCACTATTGTAGGTTACTTGGCTTGAGCATTGGGAGTATGATGAGAGTGTTATCCACCAACTTTATCGCCCATTGCTTAGTTCTGGTGTTGGATTTGGTGCTCATAGATGGATCGCCACCCTCCAAAGGCAGTGTGAAGGCTTGGCCATCCTAATGTCTTCTTCCATCTCAAGTGATGATCACACAGGTATATATACTTAACATTAATTGTTACTCTCTCATCACTTGTTCACTATGAATCATGTTTGTAAACTTGCCATGCATTTTGATGTTTCAGCCTTGAGCCAAGCTGGTCGGAGAAGCATGTTGAAGCTGGCACAACGCATGACCAGTAACTTTTGTTCCGGGGTCTGTGCTTCTTCAGCTCGCAAGTGGGATAGCCTTCATCTGGGGACTCTTGGTGATGACATGAGAGTGATGACTAGGAAAAATGTGGATGACCCAGGTGAGCCTCCAGGGATCTTGCTCAGTGCTGCAACTTCTGTTTGGATGCCGGTGTCACGGCAAAGGCTGTTTGATTTTCTTCGCGATGAACGGTTCAGAAGCCAGTGGGACATTTTGTCCAATGGTGAACCAATGCAAGAGATGGTCCATATTGCCAAAGGACAAGGTCATGGAAATTGTGTTTCTCTCCTTCGTGCTGGTGTAAGTGGTATTCTTAACTTTTTTTTTCTTCGTATATGTTGTTCTTTGCATATTGATTTTATTTAAGCACAACCAAAAACCAAAATTCTTTGTTTTGTGTTGTGTCATATTTGCAGGCTGTTAATGCCAATGATAGTAGCATGCTGATTCTGCAAGAAACATGGACGGATGCTTCGTGCTCGGTGGTAGTATATGCACCGGTTGATGTGCAATCCTTGAATGTGGTGATGAGTGGGGGAGATTCTGCTTATGTTGCACTCTTGCCTTCAGGTTTTGCCATTCTTCCTGATGGTCATTGCTTCGGCAGTGTTGCACCAAACAACAGTTGCAATGGTGGTGTTGGTGATGGTGACGGTGGAAGCTTGCTTACGGTTGGGTTCCAAATTCTGGTGAATAGCCTCCCAACAGCTAAGCTCACGGTGGAGTCAGTTGATACCGTGGATAACCTCATCTCATGCACCATTCAGAAGATCAAAGCTTCACTCAGAGTTGCATAACAACCATTTTGTCAAAGCAATGCAAGTTAAACTTATTTTGTGTCCTTTTCTCTTTATCCTATAATGAAAAAACAGAAAGGGTTTATATATTTGGATGTAAAGGATTTATATAGAGTAGTGGAAGAGGCTGAGACAGAAAGGGTCGCATAAGGAAAGGTTACGAGTCAAGAACGAACCGCGAAAGAGGAACTTGAGCTGCATGTACTCTTGAGTGCACATTTTTTTGCTCACGGTGGTTCGGGTATTGACTCGTTGACCAGCGAGTTAGTCTCAGGACTCTTATTTGCCTAAAAAATGTCTGTTATTTAAGCCAATTCTATACAGTTGCAAATTGAAACTATGCTTTTGGAATGCACATTTATATTATAATTTTTATAAGTATACTATAAATTGTGCCTTTTGTTTGTTTGTTTTTTTTTTTTTTTGGGTTGGGGGCAAGGGAGGATGTTTAATGTTAATTTATTTGAGATGATATTTGGTATACTTACAGAAATTAAATTTATGAGGTGGTGTTATCTCTTTTTTAGATGAATTGATTAATAAATTACAATCATGTTTCGCTTAATATTGAAGTAGTAATGGGGTTAAGGCTTCAAGCATAATGAAATAATAAATTACAAAGAATTTTGACTGGGTATACTACCAGTATTGTTAGTGAGTAATTTTACTAACATTGTCCCGAGTAGTTATTGGGCGAGGTGTTCCTCAAATCGTGACAAGTGACGACCGAATTAAAAAATTGATAATCGAAAAATCAAAAATTGAAAAAAATTGCATATTTTAATTTGGTTGGATCGATTTTCGGTTTGGTTGGTGAAAATCGATCCAATGTATTATGTATTTATTATTTTTGAAAGATTGTGACTTGCTGACTTAGAATCTTTTTATTTTGTAGACTTGAATCTTGGATGTTATTAATTGTAAACTATCTTGTTTTAGTTTTTATTAATTTATATTAACTCTACATGAGTTTTAAAACTTATTTTAATTTGAAGACTTGAATTTTTCAGTAGTTTGTAACTTTAAATGTCTTTATTATGATATAGCTAATGATTTATATGAATGAAATTTTTGAATTTTTGAAAAAAATAAAAAATTGATCCAATCTAAACCGAATAAAATTGGATTTGATTGATCGGATTTAAAAAAAATTCAAACAGAATGGATGATTAAATAATCAAATCGAAAAAATTGGATCGGATTATTTTTGCTTCAAAATCAATCCAATTTAGACCGTGAAAACCTCTTGCACAAACTCGGAAAATAGATCTATTGGGTATTCTGGTGATTGATTACTAAATAAGAAGCTTTGTTAATAATTGTACTTTTGAATATTTAAACTTCAGTAATCTCTATCAAAGATGACTTATTTAGTATTTTGCATCCAACCCTAGTTGGCTTTTATCTTTTCCCTTTCTTGTTTTTAGCACTAAAAAAAGACAAAAAAAACTGAACAACATTTTATGAATATTTGTTTGTTGTTAATGAAAAAAGTTAAGGATGAGGAGAATTTTATGTTTTAAAAAATTTGAAGTTCAAGACAAACTACTTATTTAAGGGTATATTTAAAATGGATATGGATAAAACTAAAAAAATATCACATGATCATATAGAGAATCATAATCATACAAAGGTGAATCAATAGATAATAAATGAAAAGAGAAAAAAAATATTATAACAAGTAATTATAAAATTATAATCGTTAATTTACCTTTATATGATTTATGATCTTTTCACATGATCATATCATATATTTTTTTCACTTTTCATTTAAAATTGGATTATATATTCCTTTGAAAATAAAATTATCCAGGTGAACCAAACTTGTCGGTTGAGTAAGAGAACATTACTTTCCATGATGTATTTGCATTGTCGGTTGTATTTTAATGTATGTCTGTTGGGTCAACCAGAGAGTGTACTAGTATTTATTTAAAATCAAAATCAATGAAATAAACTTTTAAAAGAAAATTATTTAATGATATGATAATTATGTCACGAATCAATACATATACATGCTAAACTCATAATGTAACGTCTTCCTTAAAATGTTAATGTAAAGCGAAACCGTGAGGACGGGATTAACGGGGTGTTTGGTTCAAGTTTTTGGAGAGGATTACCGGTAATCCTTCTTTGGTAAATGTAATTACCATGTTTGGTAGAAGGAATAAATTACGATTCCCGGATATCCAAGGATTACCGGTAATTTGATTTATAAAGAAAAGTCACTATTCAGATTACCAAAAATAATATGGTAATTCAGTATACCAATCAGAATACCAAGTAAAGGGAAAACACAACAATAAATTTTGAGACAAAAATACCTCAATACACATAAAAATCTAGACCCAATCTATCAATTACAAAAGTAAAAATAGTTTGGGGTTATTTTTGTAAAATAACCTCATATTCCAAGTCATATTTCGTTCTAAACCAAATATGGAATCAGTAATTTTTACCCAGTATTCCCGGTAATATTTTGGCGAACCAAACACATCTTTCGTAAGATTCCAAGTAAACTCAATTTCTACTGAATTCTCATTAATCATGATTTCCGATCACCAAAAAAATTTTCCTCTACCAAACACACCCTGAAGGCAATTGATTATGAGGGTGGGCGGGGGAGGGGGGGAATCGAGAATTCTTTTTAAACTAAGATATGGTGGGCCTTATTATCCATTAAAAAAAATTTGTGGCATATAATTTGATGTCTGAAAAAGAATTCTTCTATTATTTATGTAATATTTAAATGACTATAGAATAAGATAAAATGCAGCAATGTATTTTTATGTTTTGCATTAATTTTTAACAGATAAATAAATCTTTTTTTTCTGTGTAAGGCACAAGTAATACATTAATATAAATAAAGAAAGGGTAAAGTGTGTGTCATTTTAAAGTATGTAACGTTGTGTCATTTTAAGAGAGAGAAAGAGATAGATAAAAAAGGAGAGAGAATTGACAAAAAAAATTAAAGGTGTGGGTCCCACCTCTTTGTGATAGTGAAAGGATATAAGTTGTGTCATTTAAAAGGATAAACAATTTTTCCAGAAAAAGGAACTCATTAATTATTGACCGAAATGCCGAGCTCCCCGAAGAAGTAACGATCTGCGGTTATGACTCATGTGATGGGCGTCAGAGGCTTTTAAAAATGAGAGTCCGAGCAACTCCTCATTCGATAAATCATGGACAATGAGTCGAATCTAATATGGGGTTTGAATCCTATTCAAAGTCCGCTCTCTTTATAAATTAAACACTCCTTTGGTGTACAAGATAGAATAAGAGTATGATATATGATATGAGGTTGATAAACTTATATTATGTCGTGTGTTTAATGAGCACCTAATTAGCAATCTGATAAAATTATGTAGAAGAAGAAAGGAGAAAGAAGAAACAAAATATAATGCAATAAGTACAAATATATTGAATAGCCTGATAATATATTGGGTATCCAATATTGATATCCTATCCTGTTGAATCCTAACCCATCTCCCGATAAGAAATCATGTATTTTGGATAGGATAAAATGAGACAATAGGATAAACTATATAATTCCTATTGACTCACCAAATAAGAGATGAAAGTAGGATATAATAAATTATCTTATCTTATCTTTTCTATAGGTGCTCCAAATATACCCTGGGGCGTTTGGTACGCGGGATTTTGAGAGATTCCCGGGAAACTGAATTTTTTTAAATTTTAAATTTTCAGATATTATCGTAAATTGAATGCAAAAATCATACTTTTTGTTCCGGGTTAACACATCGAGTTGTACTTGCTCGTACGAGTAAAGTACTCGGAACCCGTAATAGGCGAGTAGGCATGTCAGTAACGGCTACGCGTAGTGGAGTTAGCAGTCAGTTGAGTCAGCCAGCATTTTCAGTAAGGGAGTCATAAGTGGGCCTACCACGATGTCATGATGGTATCCACCACTCCCATGACACAGGTAACCGTTCCAAAGCTACATCTATATATACATCAAGGATTAAGATAACAGGCAGACAAAGACTAGAGAGATCCATATTAATGTTCGTCCAGAACACTTTTGAAAATCAAGATTTCTGGACAAATAAAAATTTCTCCTATACCAAACGCGGTTAAATTCTATAGGTATACACTTTCTTGAACCTAACTTCTTTTATTGTTTATATACACGCACCATCCTCGTTAACTTCAAGCATTTTCTTTTGTGCACGCTATTCAACAATAATCAGGATCTCTTTCTCCTATCGAACATAAATTATATCAATTCCAATGAATGTCAATTTTATTTTAGGACCCGTTTTTTATTTTTGCTACGCAGTTACTAGTAAATAGTCTATAGAATTATTCTAGTCGGGGGGGGGGGGGGGGGGGGGGGGGGGGGGGGACAAAGATTGAATGCAATTGGATAGAAACTAAAAAGGGAAAGTTATTATAATGATAATCCAATATTTCATTTTCAGGACCGCATAACACTATCTTCGTTTTTTTTTTTTTTAATCTCTTTATTTGTTTTGTAAATATTCACATAATACACTGCCCCAGTAACATTTATATGATAGAAAGAAGCATTAATACTTCTAATTACCTCTTCACGTTTGTTTGTAACTTTTTATTGTGATTGAGGGTTTCAGAATTATAGGTCTTCTGCAACTGTGGTGATATGGGCCAAGTATTTGCTAACTGCTCCTACTTGTTGATTTGGGCCTCCAAGGCTCCAAATATACACAACATACATTCATACAAGCTGATGATATGCATATTTACAAAATGTACCATCAAAATTTAATAAATTAATTATTTCCCATCTGGTTATTTGTAAGCAGGGGTGTCAATATGGGTTGACACGACACGAATTTGACACGATACGAATACATCAACACGAACACGATACGAATTTTTATTCGTGTCAAAATCTTCAACACTGACACGACACGAATTTTTTACGGGTTGACACGACACGAATAACACGCAAAATAGGGGTCAAAACGGTAATTGACAAAAAAATTAAAAAATAGATCGAAAATAAAATAAAAATTAAAAAAATAATAATAATAATAATTAAAAAAAAATACGGGTCGACACGAACACGAATTGATAAACACGAACACGACACGAATTTTTTGCGTGTCATTTTTTCCAACACGAACACGACACGAATTTTTTTACGGGTCAACCCGAACACGAATTTTCATGTCGTGTCGCGGGTCGACCCGCGTGTCAAAACCTATATTGACACCCCTATTTATAAGGAATGAGATTGTAAGGAATCTCACGTGGAAAGTAAAGGGAGGAGGAGAATGTTTTACAAGTCCTAACCTCACTTACCTTGATTGCATTTTGGGATATCCCA